GTCTTTAGATATTTTGAGGATTCCTGGGGCTATCGTAAAGCCTAGGAATTCGACTTCTTGGGTGTGGAATTTGCTTTTTTCTGGTTCCACTAGGAGTTTGGCGTCTTGCAGTTTCCGTAGTACTTGGTGTACGTGTTTTTTGTGGTCTTCCATAGTCTTGGAGAAGATTAGGATGTCGTCGAGGTAAACTACGACGAACATATCTAGAAATTCTCGTAAGACGTGGTTGATCATCGTCTGGAATGTCGCGGGTGCGTTGGTGAGTCCGAAGGGCATCACAAGGTACTCGTAATGTCCTCGGCGTGTTCGAAACGCTATCTTCTATTCTTCACCTGATTTCATCCGGATCAGGTTATAGGCTCCTTTTAGGTCGAGTGCTGTAAACCACTGTGCTCCGTGCAACAGGTCTCGTAGTTCGGAGATGAGCGGTAGTGGGTAGCAGTTCTTGATCGTAATGTCGTTGAGTTTCCGGTAGTCGACGCAGAGTCGTAGTTTGCTGTTCTTTTTTGGTACGAACAGGATTGGGTATCCCGCTGGTGATGTAGAGGGTCTGATGTATCCCTTTTGTAGATTTTCTTTGAGGTAAGCGTCGAGTGCTTCCATTTCTTTCTGGTTGAGTCCGTAGATTGCTTCTAGCTTTGGCTCCTTCCCTTCCTTAAGGGGTATCTCGTGGTCGTAGTTGCTGTGTTCCGGGAGTCCGGTCTCGAGTTCTTCGGCGAATAGCTTCTGGTATTGCCGGTATTCTTCTGGGATAGACAGAAGTCGGTCTTCCTTGCCGATGTCTGTTGCTGATAACGTCCTGGCGTTTGCATCCTTGATCCGTAGGTATGCTAGAAATCTCTTCGCTTCAGGAGTCTTGAGAGGTTCGTTTGAGGCACCGTTCCGTGGTTGCTTCTCAGTGACTGAATCCTGGTCCCAATGGAGTTGGCCTGTTCTCCAATCTATCCGTGGGTTACTGTCGTATAACCATGGTCTTCTAAGGATGACATCGTACTTGTCTCCTATCTCCGTAATATCGAAGTTGAGTCGCTCATTCCGCTATGGATCTGCATTAGAGTTGCGCTGTCTCTATAACATGCGTCCTCCGCCGTACTGGACTTGTTCTCCTTCAACGGTGCTGAGTTCGTAGCAGTCTTCGGCTGCTTTTCTTTTCTAGGTTATCTTTCTTTCATTCACCGTTCTTGGTGATATGAAGTTTCCTTGGGCTCCGCTGTCGATCATGGCGGTAGCTGTTCTTCCGTTGAGCTGTATTTGGACTTGTACATGCTCGTGTCGTTGTGTCGTGGGCGTCGTTGTGCTATATAGGGACCTTGTCTGGACTGCCTGTCGTTGTCCCTTGTCTTCGGTAGGCGAGTCTAGTTTTTTGACTGCTCGTCCGTTCCTTGTTCGTCGTTTTCTTGCTGTTTCTTCCATGCTTCGTCTTTCTTGATATAGTGGACTCGGCACTGGTCTTGGTAGCAGTGATACTACTGTATTTCTTCGTCAGAGTCCTCTCTAGAGCTGGTGTCGTTGACTGAAGCGACTTCAAAGGCGACTTCCAGTTGGGCATGTTGACGGGCAACATCGCGAGGTGTTTCCGAGTCGTTGGGGGTGTTCTTGGTCGTTTCTGATTCGACCTGTTCTTCTAGTTCTTGGTTGATCTGGCGGATCCGTGCGGGATCTCCTTGTGCATGTTGTCGTCGTTCGATGTGTGCGTCCAGCGCACCGAGTTGTCGTTGCTACATAGGGTTTTGTGAGTCCTGTTGAATCCGCTGCAGGTTGGCTTGTCGTCCTGCGTAGAGGAGGTTCAGTCTTCGCTGATTGTCTTGTTCTAATTCCTCGTTGTCGTTCATACTGTCGAGCTGTTCGATTGTCTTGCGCTCGATTTTGCTGTTGCTTCTATATCCCACAGCGAGGGTCCGTTTAGGTGCGTTGGTGGTGTCGTAACCAGATCGTTCTTGAGGTTTCTGGGGGTACTATCCTGCGTGTTCCTTACTGCTAGAGTGGATATGGCAGTTGTTATCGAAGCAGGTGGTCTAGTTGAGTTGTTTATGAGGGATCGTCTTCGTGGCGATACTTGCTTGTCGTTTCTCTGGTACCGGTTGGAAGCGTTCCTTCTTGGGTGACCTGCATTCGTATGCTAGGTGTCTAATCTTCTGGCAGTTATAGCACTGTCTATCTTTCTTCTAACTATCGTTCTTTTTGTCGTTTCTCTATATAGCACTAAGGTCCATTAGTCTACTATGGTAACCATAGGCAGTACTTTGTCGGGGGTTGTTCTAGTTGTTACGGGGTCTATTATCGTTTCGCTGGTTGTTGAACTAGTGCTGAGGCTGCCACTGGTACTTGCGTCCTAAGTTAGGGTTTTGTCGTTTTTCGCCTCTTTCCTTTCGTCGTTCGAAAAGCCGGTTGTCGATTTTGATAGCGAGTTCGGCGTACTGGAGAAAGTCGTTAGGTCGATCAATCTTGATGATCTCGTCCTTGACTTCGTCTTTTAGTCCTTAATAGAACATGAAGATCTTGGTTTCCTCGGTAAGGTCGAGTTGAACGCTAAGTTGTCGGAAATTGGCGGAGTAGTCTTTAGCGGACTTAGTCTGCTTAAGTTGTGCTAGATCTCGTTCGGCTTATCGCTTTTCGTCGGGGTCTTGGAAGAGTGACCTGAGCGCATCCTCGAATCCTTTAAAATTGGCGTAGATGTCGCGGGTCTCGGTAGTGCACTCGTCGAGGGTCTCGCATTTTAGGTATTCTTCCTGGATTAGTTTAAACCACTTGAGGGCCTTTCCTCGGAGGTAGGTGGCTGCGTGTACTACTTTTTCGGTCTCGTTGGTAAAATCTCCGTGGTGAAAGTTCTAGTAGTTTTTGACCTGAATCAGGAATCCTTTAAGGGTCCCGGGGGTTCCGTCGTAGGTGACAGGCGCACTGAGCTTGAGCTTTTGTCGTCCTCCGTGGACGGGCGTGGTGACGATGTTGGCGGCGGCCCGGAGGGTGGTGATTTCCCCCTGGAGTTCCTGGATCTTCCGGAGGTTGGCGTCCCCCTTGATGTCTTCTTCCAGCTTCTTATAAGCCTGTCCAGCGTGCTGGAGTTGCTCGTTAAGGTTTTCCATTGCTTGTCGGTTTTCGTTGACGATTTTCTGCATGTCTTTTGTCTCGGCTTCTTGTTTCTGGATTATGCGTCGGAGCTTATCGTAGCTTTCCTTGGTGAAAGAGCCATCTCTATCGGAGTCGTACTTGAGGTCCGGCATGTCGAAGTCCTCAGTGTTGGCAGGCTCCTGCGCGAGGCTCTGAGGCTGGTTGCGCGAAGAGGATGAGGATCCTGGAGTAGGTGATTTGGCAGAAGCGCGAGAAGACATCTTGTCTATACTGTTTAGTAGTTCTCAAAAGGTGACTTACTAAACAGGAGCAATCAAAGTGTTACGGCTAGCTAACTGACAGTGGGTTTGTGTTAACAGTAAGCCAGGGATTGAGAGTAGTAACAGTCGTTCCGTGGTCCTGGTCGAATAGATCGTAGATCTTCAAAGGTCTTGGTGATCAGTCAAGGCCTTAACAAGAGTCGTAGAGTAGTCGTCACTTAGGTATAGCTGAAAGTACCGGTTAGGGTAATTACAAAGTTGATTGCTGAAGAACTAGGAAAGGTAGGACTCGAGAGGACTCGAGTCCCAACTATATACAAGTCTGGTTCCATGCTGAACACTTCCTGATCCTGGGGGACCGACACCCAGGACGTCGGTCCATCGCCATGGACCGCCCTTGGCACCGTCGGTCCTGTGATTGATTGATTGATTGATTGATTGATTCCTACACGGTTATGAAGCCGCTCTTATGCTAGCAGCTATGCCCGGAAAGCGGGGTTTGGCAGACAGCCGAAGCATCGACGATAAACCGCGACGCCCCACTTCGCCCTGTTGTTGGATCAGGACCAGCTGTCCCCAAGCTCCCACTATGCTATCTATTCTTGTGTGTTTATGCCCTCTGTTGAAGATTGTTGTCCTCCTGCCTGCTCTCTCGCTTGGTGTTGCCTTCTAGAATCCTTCTTTCGCGTCCTCCTACTTCGGTTCTGTTGGTGCTAGGCACCATGTCTGGTTCTGTATACCTATAGTCTCCCCCCAGCCCTCAGCTTCGTCTCTTTATCTTGTCCGCATCCTCTCAGACTCGCATGTGCTATATCTCAGTTGAATCTGTAAATCTTTTTGTTGCCTCATGCTGGGTTCCTATGTGGCTCTATGTTTCCATCTTTCGACCACCACCTCCATCCACCGCCTGGAGTCGGACTCAATCCGCAAAACACAATGCTCCAACCGCTTCGATTCGTCCGATTACTAAGTATGAGAGCTCGTACACAGATTCCGCAGACATTGTCATACGTTGAAGGGGCGACAATCCTTCTTCGCGGAGGGGGCGACAGGGGACCAATCTGTCTGCAAACTGTAGTATTTTGTGGCATCGATCGTAGCATGCCTGGTGTCTGGTGCTTTCTCTATGCAGGAGGTGATACCGTTCTGTCGGGCTTGTCGTCGTTGTTGTCGCGGGACGTTGCAAACTTTGTCGGGGGTGATAGGCGACCCATAACCTATCGGTGGCTGTGGTGTTGATGTTTGTTTGGGCTTGGTCGTTGTGCTCACGTGATAGCCCGTGACTCAACCGCGGTGGTGTCGATGGTGTTGTCTATTGACGTGTCATACTTTGTGGCTTGCTCTCGAATTTTTCGTGGTCAGAGCCCGCCCGCGGCCACGAGCAGGCTCTTTGGGAGCAGAATCAATGCCGAGGATGACATTATGCCCAAAGTGACCTCTGAGAGCGCGAGCGGGCGTGGTTTGATCAATTTGATGCTGTTTTCAAAAATTTCGTTCTCGCTGTTGTTGATGTTTTCCCGTCGGTCCTGTCCCAGGACCGCTTATCGTCCGTCGGTCCTGCTTATCGTCACGTGACCTGTATCCTAGTTCTTCCGTTCCGTGGGGGTTGTTACGACGTAACGGCTGACGGCCGTCCCTATAACCGCTGAGCCCCTGCGGGGTCGTCGTCAGTGGTCTGTTAACTGTCGGGTCGTAACAAGATTATGAGTATGATCGGTGTTGAAGGCAGCCAGGTTGCGACACAGGCCTCTACTGATGAACTGCCTCTCCTCGGCTCTGCTTACTGGTGGTACCACTCGAGTTTATATCCTTTCCATACGCTATCTAAGAATAAGATTCGAGAAGATTTTACCTCATCGGGCCTAACGCAAACAAGTACTGCTGACATCTTGTCGCACGCATTGAGTATTTTCACGCACACAAACCCACAGATAAGAGTCTTGGAGATGGGAACCGGGGCTGATACAGTTACTCGGCGCCTTCTGGCCCTCCTCCGGCCTGGCAAAGGACAGCAACTATTTTCCAAATACACTTATTTATCATTGTCACCCGAGACTTGCCAGCAGGCTAAAGAGGCTCTCGCAGACATAGATGGTATTGAGTTTGGAACGCTGGATCCCGTGGACAGTGGTTACTCTCTTGAGTTAGAGCTTGGGTCGTACGATCTTATTATTAGCAACGATGTGAGTGATGCTTTTATTTACTTTTCATGGAGTTTATCACTAATTACCCCAGACCTTTCGCCTCTCGGAAAGGATTTACAATGCCTTTGGTCTTCTCAAAGACTTACTCCGCCCCACAGGAGCTCTCATCTTGCTTGAATTACTCCAAGGTCAGTTGATTACGTTATTGCTTGTAAATATGGAATGCTAAATCACTCGAGTAGATGACGAGTCTCTGTCCTCTTTCAAGGTAACTTAAATTCCTGTATATTCATCCGCCTCTGTGCTAATTGACGATTAGTGTCTTCCGAATGAGCCAGTTTCAGAGGGTTTGAGTGAAAGTGTAGGTTTCACAGGGGGTGAAACGGAATTCCGTTCGTCAATAACAAATAACAGTAAATTGGTTCTAATCGATGGTTCATGATAGTTGAAAGTGGTGTTGTTGACTAGAAGGTGGGGATATTCCCCCTTGGCCTGTCACGTGGGTCTGGGAGGCTTGGGCCTCTCAGCCTGGCGGGCGTGTGGCTGGAAGTGCCATACGACTCCGTATTCCAACTATCGCAACACTGGAAACTCTCTTTTTATAGTGTTGAAGCGGTTAGAATACGTTATCCCTATATAGTTCCGTCTCCTCGTCAATTTAGCCTCCTATCCCTACTTTCTCCCGTAGTTACGGTCTTATTACCTATCCCTCCATACGTATCGTTATCGTGTTGCTATTAACGAATCTCTCGAAGGCTCGATTTAGTTTACTCTTCGTAAAGGTATTAGCAAGGTTGTCTTCGCTATTAATCTAACGAATTTCTTATAGTTCTCGTCTTTCGTACGATTGTCTTAACGCTATAATATCGATCATAAGTCGCTTTTCTTTAGTAGTACCTAGCTTTACGAGATACTTGTATAGCGAATAAGAATCGGTATAGATAACTATCTAAATCGTTAGTAGGTTAAGGTAGTTAGTAATTATCGCTAGGGTTATAGCGAAGGCATAGGCTATATCGACGCTAGCGACTATCCCGTAGATCTCTAACGCTAATACGCTACGAGTAACTTATTTACTTTTCGTAAAGCTATAATAAACAAGGTTACTATAAATCGTAAATTCTTCGTTATTACTATTAGAGGAAGTATCGTTAGCTAGGATAATTTGTTAGAAGTATAAGTATATTATACTTCTATTTTACTTATTTATCCTATTTAGTCTTATCTAAGACTTAGTAGGACTTACAAAAGTAACTAGCTAAGAATGGCTGCTTGCTAGTTTAAACATATGATATTCAGATCCCTATGGAATACTCTCTTTAACCTTATCTAAAAGTCTATTTAGTTAAAGAAGATTCTAGTCTGATTTATAAGCTGCTTTATAAGCTAGTTGACGTATATACTTACGTATACTAAACCTAGCTTATAGCTTCCTATATTAGCTATTATAGGCGACGTTATACTACTATATAACTAGCCTAATTCTCTCCCTTAGCTAGCTATTAGTTCCTCAACCAACTCAGCTTCAATATAAGCCTATACATTCTTTACTATTAAAGCCCTACTTCATAAGTACAAGTTCCCTTACTCTAATACCCTGTTATAAGGATATCGTACTATCTACGAGATTCCTACCTACCGTTCCAACAGGTTATGAGCCCAGCAGAGTAATAACTTTACTTATTCTTTTATCCTCAACTCTTCGGTTATTAAATATCTTAAACTCTATTTTATTCCTATAAACGATATAAGTTTTAGGAATTTATATTTATTATTCTTTTAAACCGTATATTATTATAACGGTTATTATTATAACGGCTATATTCCCCTAAGACGAAAAGTCTAAAACTTTAACTCTATTCTAGTACTATTAAGGCAGACGAAGTGTAAGTCCTTAGTACTACTAAATACGAGACTATTAAGGGGATTACGTCTTAGAAACTATTATTCTAAGATATTACTTGCTGCTTTTAGTGCTTATATACCCTATTATAAAGGCATATCCTAGGGCTTAGCACTTAATAACAAGGCAAAATACCTGTTATTTACTCAAGGCATAGCTCCTTAGTATCTTCAGCAGCCTATTAAGGGATAAATTCCCTATATTATAAGCAGTTTTTGGGCTATAAGTCCCCTATCTCAAGGGCAATAAGTACCCAAGGGCTATAAGTCCCTATATTTAAGGGCAATAAGCACCCTATTAAAAGTCAATATGTCTTCGACTACTACGACTACTACTACTGCTATAAGAGCCGTTACAGGCTGTTTAATGCCTGAAAATCAACGATTAAAGGGTATAGATAACTGGAATACCTGGATTACTACCCTTCAAATCTATTTTAAATTGCTGAATTTATCCCAATACTTTGAGGATCAAGAGAAATATTCAGCTATAACCGAAGAGCAAAAATCACAAGCCTTACTAGTTATAAGGCAAAATTTACAGCCAGAACCTCTTAGCCTGGTTTTTAATAATAAAGACCCAGCAGAAGCCCTAAAGTTACTAAAGGATACCTATGAAGGTTCCGGGCCGGTTCTAAGGCAACAGCTATATCTCGAATTCCACGCTATTAAATTCGAGGATTATAGCTCTTTAAATCTATTTATTAGCTCTTTTAAGGCTTATTTATCTAAATTAGCCTCTGTAGGAGCAAAAATCGAGACTATAGACCAAAATACGGTCTTTATAGCTGCCTTATCAAAATCATTTCCTATTTGGGCTGAAAGGCAAAGGGCTGCCTTACGTTCTAAAGAGATACCTACTTTAGAAGCCCTTATTACGGATATATTAGATGAAAATAGGCGTGATGAGGACACCCCTATGTCTAATTCCTATATCCATAGGCAACAGTCTCAACAACGGTCTAAAAAGACTAAGAGGTCTAACTATAGACCTAATGCCTTTAAAGGCAATAATAAAAGGGAAAACCAACAGCCTCCTAGCAACTCCTACTCTTTCTATAATTTAAAATATTATAGTGGGATTGATGCTAGTTACTTTAATAAGAGGCCTAATAGCCCTAGTTCTAGTTCTAGTCCTAAGAACTGGTGGCTGTATGATTCCGGTTCTACTGTTCACATAGCTAACAGTAGAGAATTCTTTACAGCCTATACTTCTAAGGACAACCTCCCAGAAGTCAAAACAGGCGCTGGACCTATAAAACCTAAGGGCCAAGGTACTATAGACCTACCGCTCTACTTTAAAGGTCAAAGGTCAACTATTAGGCTTGAACAAGCCTTATATATACCGGATTTCCCTATAAATACTATTTCAGGTCTAAGGCACTATCTCTCAGGAGGCTATATTAACGGGAATTATTTATATACCCCGTCTCACAAAGCCTTTGCTGCCTTAAATATCCCTAAAAGGGGATTTTTCCTATCTATATATGGGAAATTAGAACCTGATATTCATAGTTTGAGGAATAAGAAGACGAATAAGTCCTCCTCAACTAATAAGACTAAAAAGTCTACTACCTCTAATTATAACGAGGTTGATTTATCCTCTAGAATCGATGAACTTTCCGATTCTGAAGCCTCTAACTATATGGCTTTTGAGGAATTACAAGGTAACCCTAACCCTAAGGGTCTAAAGGGTCAAAATAACCCTAATCTTAAGGGTAATAACCCTACTAATCCTACTATGGATTGGCATAACAAATTAGGACATCCTAGTTACTCTTACCTATATAAGACAGCTAAGATAACTAAGGGGATTCCTATCAACCAGCTTAAAAAGGACGATTTACAGTGCCCTAGCTGTGAGAAAGCTAAGTTAACTAGACAACAGTCTATAGTTAACTATAACAGGGCTACTAAACCTCTCGATCGACTATGTATCGATACGATTAAGATTACGCCTTCTACTATAGCTGGGAATATCTACGCTATCCCATATACTGACGATTATACTAGCTATAGAGATATAGATTTCAGTCCTACTAAGGATAAAATCTTATCTCTTATACAAAATAAGCTAGAATATTATTATACGCAGTATAACCAGTACCCTAAGTCATTACGAATTGATAATGGTACTGAATTCGCTATAAGCGAATTAGAAGCCTATACTAAACCTAAAGGGATAGTTATAGAGCTTACTACTGCATACACGCCAGAACAAAACGGTATAGCTGAACGAGCAAATCGAATCATAGTTGAAAAGGCTAGAACTATATTACTAGCTTTAAAACTACCTCTATTTCTATGGGATGAAGTCTTTAAAGCTGTTATTAAGTTATTAAACTATACAGCTACTTCAAGACTCCCTATTACACCATACGAGGCATTTTTCAACTATATATTTCCTAATAAGGATAATCGACCTGATTTATCTTCCTTATATAACATAGGAGATTCGGTCTATATATATTATCCTAAGGAAAAACAAGTCAAATCGAATAAGGTTTATACCTATACTCAAGAGGGCAT